GATGTTCCCTGGGAAGTGCATCATGGACGCGCACTGCGTGAAGGACTCGGGCGACCTGTTCGCTCACTGGCAGCGCCGCGCCGTGCTGAGGGTCCTGCTCCGCGAGGCGGAGGCCAAGTGGGAGATGAGCGGGAAGAATCCGGACGATCGTCCGCAGCACTCGAAGAGCCTTATCGGCGTCGACATGGTCGGCGGCACCAAGGTTCCGGATGACCGAACTGGGCACGTGAAGAATACATGCGCAGACACCGATCGCAGTCTTTGTCCATGTTGAACCAGGCGCGCTGTCGGCGTCGCCTCGGATACCATTCCAGATAGACGGTCGCAGTCGATGTTGGGCAGCATTCCCCAATACGGTTTCCCATGACAGATTCTTAGACGATTCTGCAAGAAGCCGGTGGTTGCGGGCACTTCACGTCCGCTGGCGTTCTTCGGATTTCCCCAGCATGACTTGGAGTTGCCCAGGTTGCCTGGGCAGGGCCAAGCAACGCAAACCAACGCCAAGACAAGCAATGCTAAGCAATATCGAGCAAGGCTCCCAGCGCCGCCAAGCAATGCCAAGCAATGCGCCAAGCAATGCCAACCGACGTTAAGCAATGCCACGCAATGCCTTGCCAAGGGTGGTCAATTTAATTCTAAGCACCTCCAGGCAATACTAGCCATTGAAAGCAATACAAACCAGTGCCCATCAAGCTAAGCCACACCATGCAATGCAGAGTCATGCAACGTAAAGCCTCGCAATGATAGGCAATGCCAAGCAATATCAAGCAATGCTAACCAGCGCAATACCAGGCAGTGCCAAGCACTGCCAAGCAATACCAAGCAATACCAAGTAATACCCAGCAAGCAGCCAAGCCATGCTAAGCAGTGCTAAGCAAAGCTAAGCAATGATGATAAGCAGTTGCAAGCGCCAAGCCGTGCCAAGCGATGCCAAGAATTGTGCAGCGGTTCCGAGCAATGCCAAATCATGCGAAGCTCTGACAAGCAATGCCGAGCGCCAAGCAAACTCAAGCAACGCCAAGCAATGCAAAGCAGTGGCAATCAACACACCACAATGGCAAGCAAAGACAGCCAACCACCATTCCAGGCAGCGCCAAGCAATGCCAGGCAAAACCACGCAATGTAACGCCAATCGATGCAAAGCAATGCCAAGTGACTCAATGCAATAGTTTTGCATTGCGTGGCATTGCATTGCTCAGAACTGCTTCGAACAGCTGCGAGAGCAAGAAGTCCCCGCGCCTTATGTATTTGCTTTCGGGCATCGCTTCCACTTCTTCCTCCCTCTTCCTGGGCGTACCAAAAGGTGGACAGCATTGACGCCTACCAGATGGAGCTCGACGAGATCGAAGGGAAGATCAAGGAGGAACGCGAGAAGCTCGAGGATGACAGCAAGACGATCGGAGGCGTCAATCTCTCAACGGGCTTCGTCACCTTCACCGAGCGCAGCTTCGCCGAGATCGCACTGGCGGTCAACGTCGCCGAGGACAGGAATGTGTGGGCCATCGAGAACCCGCCGTCGCCTGCGGACATCTTGTGGGGCGATCTGAAGCAGGACCCCAACGCGCGCGCCGGGCGCGAGGTCATTGGCTTCCTGCTCGTCGTGGGGCTCTACATGGCCTACCTGCCGCTCGTCATCGTGATCACGAACATCGCGGAGCTCGTGGACATGGGTCCGCTGGACTCCCTTTGGAGCGTAGTGGCACCCACCGCGGGCCTCCAGTTCATGGTCGCCTTCCTTCCCACGTTCCTCATGATCATCTTCGAGAACTTCTTCACCCTCAAGGCGGGCGCGTGGGCGCAGCACAAGGTGCAGACCTGGTACTTCTGGTTCAACGTGGTCTTCGTGATCATGATCGCGGCGGTCGGCACCGACTTCTTCGAATTTGCGGACGCCCTGCTCGAATCGCCGTTCTCGATCTTCTCGCTGCTGGGCGATTCGCTGCCGTATGCCACGCACTACTACATGAACTACATAGTGCTGCAGTGGTTCGTTCATTTCCTCAACCTGACGAGGTACATCCAGTACTCGAAGTTCAAGGGCTTCAGCGCTCTTTACCCGGAGGAGGAGGCGGCCAAAATGTGCGAGCCAGAGGACCAGCACTACTATGGGATAGGTTCCCGCTCCGCCCGCTTCACTACGATACTGTGCATCGGCATCGTGTACGGCACGATGTCTCCGCCTATAAACCTGCTGGCGTGGGTCAACTTCTACGTCTGCCGACTCGTCTACGGGTACACGATGGTGTTTGCCGAGACCAAAAAGACGGACCTCGGGGGCGTCTTCTGGGCGACGCAGCTCGCGCACATCTACGTCGGGCTCATAATATACGTCGTCTGCATGACCGGTGTCTTCTACTGCCGCGTCAACGCGGTGGAGCCGTCGATCACGGCTCCAGTAGTCGTCTCGGCGCTCGCCATTCCTTACGTCATCTGGGCCCGGCGCAAGTTCGAAGCGAGCTACAACTGGGAGCGCCTGCCCTTCAGCGAGGTCTTCCAGAAGCAGGACGAGGGCTCCAAAAAGCGGCACGTCGGAGGGAACTACCTCCAGCCGGAATGCCTCCCGGACGACCTGCAGGACGCAGACGTCTTCGGCTCCTCGCTGCTGGCGCACCATCAGGCCGCCCTCCTGTCTGGCCTGCACGGCGCCACCGCCGCCGCCCCTGGCGCGCTGATGGCGGGGCTCGGCAGCGTCGGCCGCAAGTGATGCGCCGCTCCGCCCCTCGGCCGTCAGCGGGGGGACGGCCGAGGGCTGGGCTGGGGCGCACTCTGCAGGCTCTGCTCCGGGCGGTTCCGCTCCATTCGGTCTTGACGTATTTCTGAAGCACTGGCTCGCGACGGCGCCGTTCTTTTTATCAGAGGTGGAGTGTCCAATTTAACGCGTATGTTCATCGGCGGTATGCCCACGATGAGCTTGGAGGCCGCTTCTGCGCCACTGCTCGCAGTCAACCCGTTCATTTGTTTTTTTGTTCGGTTGCCTCTGAAAAGAACCCTCCCCCCCCCGCCAACAAAGGCAGCAGTCGTGCCCGCTCGTCGGCCGACTGGGCTCCATTGGGGGCCTTCCTGGAGCTGCCTCGGGGTGCTCTTGGGGCGCCGGTGCCCAATGTTGAGCCCAGCGTGGCTTCTCGGAGACCGCCTCGGAATCATATTGCGCGTCTCGGAGACCGCCTCAGAACCATCTTGCGCCTCTCGTAGACCGTCTCGGAGCCGTGAGCCCGAGCAAGCGCACCGGTGACCAGGCGCGGGGTACTTGAAGTATGCCGAACGTACGAGACCACAGCAAAGTGGAACTTCGAGTGTAAGTCAATAAAATCTCGAAGCGTGAAAATGCATGGAAACATAATGACTCTGATTCCCAAATTTGTTCAAATTGTTTTCGACCTTTTTGTTCCAACTTCCTCGCAACCTTGCGGATCTGTGCAATTTCCTCAAAGGTTTCGACCTTGCAAATCCTGGAACCTTTGTTCCATTGTCCCTATGTCCGAACTTCCAAACCCAGGTGGACTTCGTTTGAAAACTATAACCCGATTTTTCCAAACTTCCAAATCAGGGCAAACTTTCTGAACCAATTTCGGATTTCTCAATGTTTGTCTGATCTTCCAAGTCTGTACGAACTTGTTCAAACTTGTTCAATGTTATAATCAAAAACATGTGTCAATGTTCCAACGTTCCATTTGTTGGCAAACTTTCCCAAACATTCCGAAACGCTTACATAAACAACTCCCAGATCTAGGCACACTTCTCCAAACTTCCAGATCCGAGAAAACTTACCCTCATACTTCGCCTGATTCCTGATTTCACATTTCTCTTACACTTGTTTCTGATGCTGTATAGAACCAAGCCTTGAACACATTGCCTGCTCTGGGACGACCTGAGACGTGTGACAACGTGTCTGCGCAGCTAGTCCCATGTCGTACATAATGTTTCTCCTCTTGTTGCGTGGTTCATCGCTGTGCTTGTCCCACGATTGTCTCGTGGTTGTCCACTGGTTGTCCCGCGGTTCTTCCGTGGCTTGTCCCATTGTCCGACGGTTGTTCCTGGGGTTGTCCTGTGGCGTGTTGTTCTGCGGTTGTCCCACGGATTGTCCTCCGGCTGCTTGTTCCGTGCTTGTCCCGTGGGTTGTTTCGTGGTGGTTGTCCCATGGGCGAAACTAACACCGACATGGAAGTTTACTTTCAAATTGCACGCGTGGCGAAATGTAATCGGAATTGCCCGTCGAATTATGATTCGAGCCGCCATTCGGAATGCACCGAACCATGCGAATTGAAGTTGGATGCCGAAACTTGAACCGATATGATATTCCAATGCCAGTCGAAGTCACATCCGATGGTTGCATCGGGACGCGTGCGATGGTGCAAAGTTGGAGGGCAAACCCGATGTCAATCGACACGCACATCGACGGTTCAAAATGGTGCAATCCGGGATGCAAGTCTGAATGCGTTTCTTGACGCTTCGCCTTTTCCCACCATCCCATCCAGAAGCGAACGCCAGACCTCCTGCACGGGGTGCCGCTGGTCGCTTGCTTCTTCCGACGTGTTGCTGGTTATTCGCTGCCCTCGCGTGTCATTGGTTGCCTGCGGCCCTGGACGTGTCGCTCGTTGCATGTGTTGCCTTGGACGCGTCGCGTCTTGGGCCCGACGGCTCAAAAGGAGGGGGCCCCAAATGTAGATCCCCCCCCTCTGGGTGGCCCAATGTTGGAGGCATGTTCGGCCGCGTTGGGGCCCTCGCGGGGCCCTCCTTTGGGGCCTGGCGGGGGCCCCTGTGGGTCCCTTCTGTGTGGGTCTGGTAGGTCTCGTGGGGCCGTCGGCGCTCCCACTGCTCCAAACAGAGGGGGGGGGGTCAACGTATACCCCCCCTCCTTCGGAGGCTCACGCTCGGCGGGGAGCGAGGGGGGGAAGTGAGAAGGAGAAGGGCCTCTCAGAAGGGGCGGTGGGACTTCTCAGAAGTCCTGGCGGCTTCTGAGAAGTTTTGTTGTGTCTTCGGGGAAGGCTTGGAAGACTTCTCAGGTCCGGGAGACTTCCGAGCCTTCTGAGAAGGCCCGCCCCTTTCTCACTTCCCCCCCTGGCTCGCCGCCTACACGCATTACCTCTTGAGGGCCTCTTGGGGCGCTTTGTGGAATTTCTTGGGCGCTCTCGGGGTCGTTTTGGGTCCTCTTGGGGCTCCCTTTGGCCATCTTGGGGCCACATCTCGAGGCCTCAGAGGCTTATCGAAAGCTAAAAAAGGAATGACGGCACTACACATTACTTGTTTCTAGGTTTTTGACGTGGCCTTTGGAGGCACAAGGAGCTCCACCGAAGGTGACAGTTGCTGCGTTCGCATGCGCCCACCGCACTCATTTCGGCACACCCATCGCACGTTTCGCGGCACCATAGGGAGCTCCACCGACGGCCCAAATGGCTGCGTTCGCATGCGCCCACCGCACCTATTTCGGCACACCTCTCACGCGTTTCGTGGCCACATCGGGAATTCCACCGACGTCCCCAGTGGTTGCTTCCGCAAGCGCCCACTGGACAAATGTTGGCACACCCCTCACACGTTTCGTGGCCCTATAGGGAGCTCTTCCGAATGCGGTGTGTAGAACGGCGGTGTTCACAACTGCATATGGTTGGGTTCTTCGCCTGGCTAATTTTGTTTTCAGGGCACGGAGCCCCGGACATCTCGATCCATTCTTTGGGGCTGGCGATTCATTCCGAGAAGTTTTTGACGGTCCCGAGGCCCGGCAAGGTCTTCCAGATGTCAACTACAAAATGAACGTGCCGTCGTGCATTTCCAGACGCGAGGGGGTTTGTACATTCCAGTGCCTACTCTTTCGCATTGATCGCCGCTACTATCCGCAGGACATCGAAGGGGTTCCCACGATGGAGCTGCTCAACGAGCTGAAGCGCCGCCACGCGCTCCTCAGGCGGGACGTTTTTGTGGGGAGGGCGGGATCAGGGGCATCCACGGCTCGGCGGGAGGAGGGAGAGGGATCCCGAAGGGTTTCTTGCATCGGGATGCGTTCCAGCAGCTGTGCCTGGCCCCGAGCGCTCCAGAGGTGCCTGGATCGTCCCCGAACGTCCGCCGGAGACCCGAGCCGTGGTCCAACATCCGGACGACGAGCATCACCAAGGGTGTCCACGGTTCAGTCGATTCGGTTGCCTCGCAGTCGGTTGCGGCGTTCGGTTGGTTGTGTTCGATCGGATGTTGCGTTTTTGCGTCCTCGCGGCGTCTTCGGCTGTGCTCGCTCGATTCGGTTTTGGTCTCCCTCCGTTTCACTGTCGGTTCGGTCGGATCTCAGTTATGCTGTCGCCATGGACCGCCTTGGTCTCGACATTCCCTGAGACCCGACTTCGTGGAAAGAAACGTCGTGAGACATCACGACTGGAGCTCTAGACCAGACCCAATTCTTCCCCGCCCAGGTCCCGAAATTCGGCGACAGCGGTACGTGAACAAAAGATGCGACGCCTGGATCTCACGTTTCGCTTGCCAAGGCAACCGGGCGCGCGCAAAAGTGGACGTTTGGGCACGCGCGTTAACCTTGGGTTCGCTTGGCGTGGCCGGCCAGGAGGACTGGGCTCTGCAGTCACAGTAGGTCCTTGGAGGACCGCTCCTCCCCCCTCATCCCTCCTCCTCCTCCTCCTCCTCCTCCTCCTCGCCCTCCTCCCCCTCCTCTAGTATCCAACAGGGGGACGCGCACGTCTGTATCGGTAGCCCGGCGACGGCCGCGACAGGCAGTGAATGTTGACTCACCCACCCCTCCTCTGCGCGCCGCCAACCGACCGCCAGTCCTCCCTCGTTTTTCTCTCTCTCTCTCTCTCTCTCTCCTTATCTTTTTTTTTCTTCGCTCTCTCTTTCTCTCTCCCTCTATCTCTCCGCGTCTTCATTTGGGGCCGCGCGGTTTCTGGCTCGCCTCGGCGGATCCCGGCGTTTTCTTGGCTTGTGCCCAGAGGCTGGTGCTCTCGGCGCCGCTAGGAGGTGGCGGCCGCGCTGCACAACGACATTGTCTTCCCTCTGGTGTCTACGAGGGTGCGTCAGGGCTGCCTAGCCTCTGGTATCGACTAGACGTAAGAGTGACCATTCGCCGGAGTGACCTTTGGTGCGGGCACAGATGGGTCCCCAGGTGGCTGAAAAAGAAGCAGGAGCAGCGGCTTGCGCGTCCAGGTTTGGTCCCCCCGCGGCCCCCCAAAGGCCGCGCACCAAAGGTCACTCTTACCCAGGGTCACTCTTGCGTGTAGCCGATGGTAGCGTGCTCATGTTGGCATGGTGTCTTGTACTGCGCATGCTTGCGCGGGCTCCCCCCCTCCAGAAGTCCTTGCACGGACGGGGAGGCGCTGCAGACGACGTCGCGAGCCCGAGCGGGAAAATTGCGCAGGCCCTTGCTCTGTCGCTGCGGATGCGGATGATCGCAGCGAAGACTTGCGCGCTGTCTTTCAATGTCTTTGAAGGCTGTCGTCGTCTCGGTTGGGGCTTACGATGAATCTCATGTTCGCGCTGACCTTAAGGGGCTAGGAGCAGAGGGCGTGAAGGCCAAAGTTGTCTGCGACGCAAGGTGCTTGTGCGGAGCTCGTGGTCCACATGCGCAACATCAGGCGTGGAACATGCCCCTCAGAAAGAAAAAACAGCTGCGTCAACCAGCTCGGTTTCTTTGTTGTTGTTCCTTCGTCTCCCCGTTCGTGTCCCCTACCCCACGCGTGCTGAAACTGGAACGGGAAGGAGTGATAGCGGTAG